AGAGAGAGAGAGAGAGAGAGAGAGAGAGAGAGAGAGAGAGAGAGAGAGAGAGAGAGAGATAAGGTAGGAAGGGAGAGAGAGAGTAGGTAGGTAGGTAGATATTTCCAGGTGTATTTATCCATGTGCTGTAGAAGGAAATCGCTGACAAACCTTAAGACTTTGTTCCTGCTGGCACAGAACTTGATCAATGTAATTCTCATCAGTTAAAGAGCTTTCCAAAAGGGGAAAAAAAAGTTTTTGCACTCTGTAAACCTCCGAAAAACAGCCTGTTTTTCATGAAAACGGGCTCGTTTTTTTTTTCAAATAAAAGGCATGAATAGCCTTGGAGGGGAGGGCTTGCGAGGTGCTCCTGTGGGGGGTCAAAAAACAGCAAAAATGGACTATTTTTCACAAAAACACAATAATTTTCAGTACATTCAACTGAATAAAAAAGCCAATTAATTAGAAGAAAACTTAAAGTGATTTTTCTAATACAGTAAAGTTGTGTGTATGTTTGTAGTGTAGTATATCGGTTTAGGTTTGAAGTTGTGAACAGCAACTAGCATGCATGTCCTGTTTTATGTCTTTAGATTCAAAATTTATAAGAATGTTTTACAAGATAAAATTTAAATTGGTAGAACTAATTTTCATACAACAAACCTTAATCAGAATAAGACATCTGCCCATAAAACAGGCAAGCACAACCTCTCTTGCATTAAGATTGGTGAAATTTAAAAAATATCTTTGGCATACACTCATGTAATTATAGACATTCTTTAAAATAAAGTGAACATTAAAATTAATTTTAAAATTATATACATATCATTTTATATTCAAATCAGGAGGATTCCACTAAATCTATATATCTCAGGATACTTTAAAAAATGATATATTGAATTGAATTGAATACTTTATTTGACTTAGTCTTATTAGACATTAATTTGTCTCCAATGCAGAAACTCTCGTGTAAGTGTAAAATAACAGAATAATGATATATACCAATAAGGGCAAATAAGATAATAATAAGGATAAGTAATAATACTATAGCTATCATCACAGGGAGAAATACACATGGACATAAGGCAGCGGAGCTGAGAATTAGGTGTTCAGCAAAGTGATGGCCCTAGGGAAAAACTGTCCCCATGTCTAGTTGTTTTGGCATTGCCCTGTATCACCACCCTGTGGGGAAGAGTTGACAGTTATGTCCAGGATGTAAGGGGCCAGCAAATATCTTCTCAGCCCTCTTTATATATAATGCAATTCAATCAACTATTCTTTTGTTGTGGAAGTACAACTTAATTACATATACAAATAGTAATGCTAATGAAATATTAGCTACTATCTACATTTGTCTTAATTGGCTAATATCTGTAAACAAGTATTTTTTTCACTAGAATTATCAAACTATGTTGCAATAGATTAAAAAATATTTAGATAAGAATAGTATTTCAGCAACTTCAGAATTATATATACAGTCCATCTTCCTTTCCATAAGATTGGGGGAAGGGCGTTCTCATATTTTACAGTTTTTATATATTGTAAATGAGGGAACAACATATATGCATCCATCTCTCTGCATCTGGCATCTTAAAAAAAGAACAAATGTAATACATTCTATAATTTTGTTGTTGTAGCATGCCTATTGGCTATATTATAACCATTTCAGGAACCAGCTTTTAGGAAAGGTTATCTCTTAAAGCTGCATTCTCCAAACTGCATTCTCCAAACTGCATTCTCCAAACTAGTACTGTTCAGAAGTGATGAACTGCAGTCTTGAAAATGCATACCTACTGCGGCTGCTAACGAAGAGCTCAGTGACAAAATTATAGAATG